CCGGAGCCACTACCGCGTTCTGCTGCTGCTGCCGCCGGCGGCCGCCGCGGCTCCTCTGGCTCCGGGCTCGGTCGCAAGGGATTACCTGGTGGCGGGGGCGAGACACAGGTTAGGCTGTCTTCATATTGGCCTCCAGGGACCCCCTCAGTGGCCCTGAAACAAGGACTGGATTCTGCTCCCCACAACATCTTCCCTGCCCCGGCTCCCTGGCTCTCAACTCCCCTCTGAGTTCCAGAGTTGCAGGGACCAAGGGACGACACTAGGACCTATGCCCTGTGACCACCTTACCTTCTTCCTGCCTGCCCCCACTCCAGCAGGAACTTATCTGGGGCACGCAGGGCAATTCTATCTAATGTACACAACAACCCCGGAGGCACACATCACTGTCTCTATCCCAGAAATGAAGAAACTGAGGCTCAGAGAGGGCAGTTTGTGCCATTATGTTGTCTGATCCTTATGTGTGTGTGTGTGTGGGGGGCGGTTCTAGGCTCGGAGAGATTGAGGCCTTGTCTAAGGCTGCACAGCCAGTGAGGGGAGCGGCTGGCCTCCGCAGGGGCAACGGAGCCTTTGCCCTCCATTACTTCCCAAGCAGACTCTGCTCTGGATTTCAGGACATCTCTGTCCTACCCGTGGGCCTAGGGAACCCATCGCTGAGGAAGTAGGGAGGGGTCTAGGGTGACCTCCCACAAACTCCAATTCTGTCGGGTCCTCCTTGGCTCTAGAACCTGCCATGGCTCTCCATTGCCACGAGAAGAAAGTTCAAGCTCCTTGGCTGGGTTTTGAAAGCCTTCCCCAGCCTTGTCCCTTCCGTCTTCCCCTTCCTCTTTGGGCCAGGCATGGAGTAGGCCTGCCTGGAGTGGAGCACTGGCTGTGTGCCAAGAGGAAGAAATGCAAGGCAGAGAAAAATGAGCTTCTACTGTGAACCAGGACTGGGCCTGGGCGGGTACCATCGTCAGCCATAACCTTCACCCAGTCTTTCTGCTTCTTAAGACAGGTCTCTGCGTAAAAACTCCCCGTAATTTCCAGGACCTTCCCAAACTGCCTCCATCTTGTTTTTCCAGCTTCACTCATTCATTCAATGATCTGCTGACCGATGTGCTGGGGCTGCACTGGGCTTCACAGACCCAGGCGGCGCGGGCCTGGCCCCTGCCTGTTACTCCTTGGTTCTCACCTCCCCTCTGAGTTTCAGCCAGGCTTCTCGCTCCTCAGGTCTGGTGAGCCCCACACCTGTGCACACACTATTCCCTCTGCCCAGCAAACCTTTCCCACCCATCAAGACCCAGCTCAGATGTCACCTCCTCTGTGACGCTGTGATATTGTGATTTATAATAAGAAATGTATTTGGTCTTCCTCTCATTCCTGGCAGAGTGATAGAGTGATAAAGGTAAAAGGAGCATCTTTTAAAATTCATAACAAGCCCCTTTTAACCACACTTGAGTTCATATTAACGAGTTGACTTTTGGAAAGCCCCTAGGGATGGGTCTGGTTGACAGAGGAACCAACCACGCAATTAAAGAGTGTTGAAGCATTCAGCCCCACCCCGCTTTGGGGTGGGGAGGGGCTGGAGGTTGAGTTTGATCATCACTGGTCAATGAGTTCACCAATCAATCATGTCTGTGTAATGAAGCCTCCATAAACACCCTAGAGGAAGGGGTCCAGGGAACTTTCGGATTAGTGAACACCCCTAGGTGCTGGGAAAGGGTTGTGCTCGCAAGGGCACTGATGCCTGTCCCCGTTCCCACATCCCTTGCCCTATGCATCTCTTCGATCTGGTTGTTCTTGATCTGTATCTTTCCTTTATAAGGAACTGGTAATTTAGTACGTAAACTGTTTTCCTGAGTTCTGTGATCTGCTCTAGCAAATTATCAAACCTGAAGAGGGGTTTGTGGGAACCTCCGATTCATAGCCAGTTGGTCAGAAGCACGTGACAACCTGGACTTGAAAATGGCATCTGAAGTGGGAGCATTCTTGGGGGACGGAGCTCTTAACCTGTGGGGTCCAGGTAATGAACTCCAGGTAGATAGTGTTGGACTTGAATTGAACTGTAGGACACCCAGCTGGTGTCGGAGAATTGGTCAGTGTGGGGAACAATCTCACACATTTGGTGTCAGAAGTGAAGTGAGCAGAGTGTAGAGGAAAATGAGTTTTTTTCTCTTTTAGAAGCCTTCCTAGAAAGCCCCTAACTTGTGCAGTTATTGCTCATGTTATGCCTTAATACAGCCCTTGTCCCCACACTTACTGCTTCTACTGTACTTGTTTATTCAGGAGTCTGCCTCCTGCTCCAGACTAGGCCCTCTCCGAGGTCAGGGCCGTGTTGATTTCTAACACGCTGATGCCTTGCTCATAAAATGCATCAATACATGTTTAATGGCAGAATCCATTCTTATAATCCTTGCAACAACCACGTAAGGTGATCGTTATCACCCCATTTTAAAGGTAAAGAAACTGATTATTTATAGTGAGTTTAAACAGAACAGGGGGAAAACATGTTTCAAAGAAGAAAAATGGGACAAAGCTAAGTGAAGATGGAGGTCAGTACACACCATGAGTGGATTAAACAGAACAGGGGGAAAACATGTTTCAAAGAAGCAAGAAAAATGGGACAAAGCTAAGTGAAAATGGAGGTCAGAACACACCATGAGTGGCAAGAAGTTCCTGCAGTCAATGGCCTGAGAAACTGAGGTTCCAAAAGGTAAGTGACTTGCCCAAGGTAATTCAGCAAGGGTTTAATTAGCCTCTAAGCTTCCTGGCACTAAGAATTGGCAACCCTGCTGTTTAGAAGAAAGTAGCACAACTATTCTTGATCGAAAGATGAAGATGAAATTGCTTCTGTGAGGCTTCATGGAGAGGACATGGCCAGCTCCAGGTAACAGGCATCACAGGGCAATTTTTCATTGTGGCCTGACTGCATCTGCCAATATGCAACTCAGTGCCACCAGTTCCCCAGGGACCAGGACACCCAGTTGGGGATAGAGGTGGAAGATGGGGTTCCCCAATGCTGTGGCTTATGCCTGGGACAGTCTTAGGGGCTCTTCTTTGATATTCAGCCAGGCTTCTGATTCTGGGTGGCTGGGAGGTCAAGGTCATGCACTTTTGTGGGCTCAAGATGGTGACTGGAATGTGGGCTTGTGCTAAGGGAACCCAGTGCTCAGCCAGCAGCTGGGCTGGGGCAGGTGATGTCCTTTCAGGTAAAGTGGCAAGCTTGAGAAGGATGGGGTCCAGGCCTTTTGGTCTTTGCCCCTGACTGCAAGGACAAAGGGATCTGCAGAACATGATGAGAGGCTGCTTCAACTTCTCTACTGACCCTTCTGGCCTGGTACATTCTAGAGCAGGTGAATCCAAGCCGGCCTCTTAGCCTTCCCAGTCTCAATTCAGTCCCTGCGGCAGAGCCAGCTTGGGGCAATGCAGCTGCGAGAGCAGTAAATGGTGCAGCAGACAGGGATCCAGGGCTCTGCCTCTGGAGTCAGACCCGGTTCTAAGCCCGGTTGTACTGTGTGCCCTATATCAAAGCACTTAACCTCTCTGTGCCTCAGTTTCCTCCTCGATAAAATGGAGCTAATAATAATACCTCACAGCATTTCCTGGCACAGAGAAGGACCCAATAAATGTTAGCTGTTGTGATTACTCACGTAGTAGTGGAGGTGATGTGCTGGGTCAAGTGGGAGAAGAGAGTCTAAATCGTTTGCTGAATAGGACACTGGCCTGACAGCAACTAAGCCAGGTCTTGTGTTCTGGCTGTGAGAAGCAGGTGCAGCTGGGAGCTCTGAAGAGACCCACGGGCAAGGGAGGCTGAAACTTTCTAGCCCCTGCCAATGCTGGGTGGTGTAGAGATGAGCCCTGCTTTCTGCCTGACCCCCTAGCTTCCCAAGCTGTTCGAATGTGAGAAACTCTTTCTACAAGTGAAAGGTTTAGAGGAAGCTTTCCACGAGCATGAGAACCAAAGTCACTATGGGTTCAGATCCTTAGCTGGGGGCTTTAGGTAGGTTACTTCACCTTTAGGAACCTCAGTTTCCTCATCTCGAAAGCAGGAATAATAATAGCACCTCCCCTCACAGGGTTTTTGCTTTCATGGAATGCTTGGAACATAGTAAGGGCTGTCATCGTGAAGAAAAGCTGAGAACAACCCCAGATGCAGTGAGAATGGGCCCTGGTTCCCCACCTGCTCAGCTTTCGTATACCCTTCTCCACATAGAAGCTTCTCAGACGGGACTCTGAGAAGCACAGTATGGCAGCCACTTGTCTGTCTCCAGTCCACATGGACTGTTTCCTTCCTCTCTCTGGGCCCAGCTTCTCTTGTATCCCAAATGGGGAATACCATTCCATCTTCCTTCCCTCTAGAGCCTGCTGAGGACACAGTGACCCCCGCAGGCTAGGAAAGAGGCCTGAACAGGGGTACCAGACTCTGGGCTCGCTGAGGCTTGGGCTGTACCCAGCTCAGTCATGGGCCTATAGGTCAGACCTGGGTTCTAGGTTTGGCCTTGCTGTGCCTGATGGCTTCTGGTAGCCCCCCACAACAACTACAGAAGGGGTGCAGCAAGAGTCTGCTGGAGGGCAACAAGGCCACTTACCATTGAGCGTTGGGGGTGTGGAAGGAGATCCTAAGGGGGATGAATCATCTGAATCCAGGTACCAGGTAGCTTCGTCCATGCGAGACCTTCTCCTGGTAACAGGAGGGGAGGGGAGTTGTGCTTCGTGAATCTCATGGCTATTGGGAGGCAGATGATGCTGGGGTTGGGGGCACCTGGGTACTCACCTCCCATTCTGGATTTCTCCAGGCTTGGGGGAACTGGGACCCCAGGCCCAGCATGCTCGCCGCTCTCCATTGCTTGAGTCTTCCTGACGTCGGGGGGACTGGCGGCCCCATGCCTGGCCTGGTTCTGCAGGCTCCACTGCAAGGGAAAAACCGATGGAATCTAAGCTGAGGTCAAAAGTCCTGATCCTTATTCTCCCCCATCGTGAGAGTCAGGCTTCAGGGGCAATGTCTTATAGGATGAGAGCAGGCTGGGCCCCAATCCATTCCTAGGTGGGCTTTGGGTCACAGAACTGAACAGAACTGGGGCGAGGTAGGTGGGTTTGGGTCCTGGTGTTGGTAGTAGGGTGGGGCATCTCATCTAGTCCTTCAGCTGGCATTTGCTGCTTAGAAGGTAATACAGACACTGCAGTAAATTCAAACTGGGTTTGAATTCTGACTCATAGATGTGTAACATTAGGCAAATTGCTTTTTTCACTTCTCTCATTTGTAAAACTTAGTAAGGACAGCTACCTCACATAATAATTGTGAAGAATTAAGTTAATGTTAGCATGACATTTAAAAGATACTAGTGTCATACAATTGTTTTAACCTCAAAAAATTAGTAAAAAAATGCTGCTTGGGAACTCAGAAGTACCAGTCTAGACTGAGAGAAGAGACTGGAGGCTGGGAGGAAGAGGAGACAGTGGTAGGATTCAACGTTAAGAAAGGGTTTGACAGTCTACAGCCATGCTACCCTCAACAAGCCTGATCTCGTCTGATCTCGGAAGCTCAGCAGGGTCGGGCCTGGTTAGTACTTAGATGGGAGACCACCTGGGAAGACTAAATGCTGTAAGTGTAAAAAATAAAAAAATAAGGGACTATAAGCTGACAAAGTCCTTGCAATCTGTGAGGTCAACCAAGAGTCGCCTCGCCTACAAAAAAAAGAAAAAAAGAAGAAAAGAAAAGAAAGGGTTTGACAGAGGATAAGCGGAGGGGGAAGGGCATAGAACAGCAAAGTTTCTTACACTGGATGGCCCGGAACCTGGGAAAGGTGGGCGAGTCCCCAGATCCGACCTCGAAGACGTTCCTTCTCCGGTCCAGGCCGGGCGAGGCCTGCACAGTGATGCGGTGTTTGAAGTCTGGGTTTGGGAAGGAAGCAGGTACAGGTTTGTGGTGAAGGAGAGCACAGATTTCGACCTGCAGGGACCCCTGGCCGGCTCGTAGGCAGTATAGAGACCGGGCTTGGCACGGTGACTGTGACTGAGGCCAGCCTCACAGCCTTCCTGGGCCCCAGGCTCTCGGTAAGGAAAGCGGACCGCCTGGACTTCACCATCCGAAGATGCCTAGCGTAGTCGTTGATTCCCGGGAGCCCGCTCGCCCCGCCCCTCAGCCTTCCCAGAACTTCCATGAGCCTCGCCCCTTCCCGGCCGCAGCCACTCCCAGGCCGACATGCAAATATCCTCTCCAGAACCCGCCCAGACAAACACGCCTAGTCCCACCCCTCCCAATCTGCAGCTCACGGGTCCACCCACCAACACCCTAAACCAATCCCAGTGCGGCCAGCACGACCGCCTGACTCCACCCCTCCGCCCATGCAGCCAATGGCGGGCGGCGTGAGGAAGCCCGCCCCTTACCGAGTGGCATGCTGATGCGCTCGCCGCCGTCGCGCGCGCGGAGCTTACTGCGCTTGAAGGTGCCGCGGCGGCGGCGCACGTGGGGCCGCTCGCGGTCCACCTGCTGCAGCAGCAGTGTCAGCTCGCGCTCGAATACCTCCAGCTCCCACTGAGCCAGCAGGTGCTCGCGCCGCCGCAGCTGCTCCGCCTGTGACCGCTGCTCACGCGCCGCTCGGGTCAGCTCCTCCTCGCGGCTCAGTAGTTCCTGAGAACAGGGTAGTGAAGGCAGTGGGGTCACTACGGTAGGGATCTTGGGGCCAATCCCAGCTCTGCCCAGTGGAAACCAGGGAGACACTCCTTCTTGGTATTTCCTAACCGTGGGACCCTGACTCCTACCTTTTCCTTGGCCCGCAGCTCGTCGAAGAGGCCTTGGATCTCGCGCTTCCAGCCTTCCTGCATGGAATGGAAGGAGTCCCGCGGCATTTCCCGCAGGACCTGCGCCTCTAGCGCCTCCAACTGCTGCAGAATGGAGGCGAAGTCGGGCCTGCGATGGGGGTCCTGCGCCCAGCAGTCTGAGGGCACAGCGTGTAGGGGGGACAGAATAAGAAGAGGTCTGTGGGTGGATGTGTTTTGGACCAAGGAGCTCTGCCCCTCACCCTCCCGCACCCTTCCCTTACCAGCCATAAGCTGTGCGAAGGGCTCAGGGCAGGTGGACGGGATGGGCAGTGTGAGCTTGTTAACAGCCACTCCGTAGGCCACAGCAAGGCAGTCGATGCCACGGTAGGGCACCTCCCCAGTCAGCAATTCCCACAGCAGCACCCCAAAGCTGTGGGCGAGACAAAGGGTCTGTGTCCCCTCCTCCATTCATTGCCATCGCACCCCAAAGCAATCAAGAACTAAATGACTTGGGTCCCTCCCCCAGGGCTCTGCCTGTCTGCCCAGCCCTAGATTTTGGCAGCCACCTCTGCCTTCTGCAGCCCCACAGCTGGCCCTGTCCAGCCTCCACCCAGGCCGCACCTCCAGACATCGCTGCCCTTAGAGAAGGTGGAGGCCTTGATAACCTCCGGAGCCATCCAGGCATACGTGCCCGCAGCACTCATTTGTGTGGTTTTGTGCCACTCTCGGGCCAGGCCGAAGTCAGTGATCTTCAGGGTCTTGTGCTCCATGTCGTCGCCCTCAATAGGCTGCAGCAGCAGAACTGGGGAAGAGGAGGGGCAGGATTGTGGGTGCTCCAGGCTCAGGTGGTGGGTACAGGGAGGAGCTGGGAGCAAACTGTCATCTGACAGACATCCTGGCTGGGTTCTAGGAGCACTGAGGTGATCTTGCCCCAGAAAACTCACAGCTGGGGTTGGGGTAGAATCAGATAAAAAATAACAATGCTGGGAAATGTTGATGGAGGGGCTATTAGAGACCAGACGTTTTACACTCAGTTCTAGCACTCACAGAAAAAGATCTGTGAGGTAGACATCATTGTCCCCATTTTACAGGTGAAGGAAACTAAGCAAGGAAATGACTTGGCCAAGATCACACACAAATAAAGCAGATTCCAACCTAGTCTGAACTGAATAGAAATCAGCAATATTGCAGCCTCTTAACCTCTGTGCCTTTAATTTCAAGAGACACCCGTGTCTTGTCATTTTGCTGAGGCAGTAGTGTGAATCAGAACCTCCCTTGGGGTGGGGAGCAGGAGGGAACCCAACAGGCACCACAGGCCCCGAGTTCCCATATCACACTGTGGTTAATGCAGCCACTCCCAGGGGAGAGAAAGACTCCAAAAGATAACTACTAACGCAGTTGAATGTGGAGAGAAAGGGATCTAAGAAACTGATGGTTCTTGGCCAGAAAGGAGGAGCTTGGAATAAATGTAGGAATGGATGGTCAGACTTGGCCGGGGCTCATGGCTTTGATCCAAATGGGGGCCACCATCTCCACAGAGAGAGGAAGAAGCAGATTGCAAATCTCTCATCAGGAAAAACATGGCTCAAATGAGAGAAGTTTTAGAGGAATACAAAGAGGACAAAGTCATAAAATCATCCAGGGTCTGAAAGGGCCTCTCTACTTTTCTGGTTATAGACAACTGCACTGTAGGGAAGTGACATCCAAGCCAGCTACGTTTCTGAACACGTGTCATTTTAGAACACACCTCTCAGCTCTCCTGCTCAGGTGACAGCACTGTAATGGGGGCAGCCCAGAGTACTGGGGGGGAGTACCAGAAGGCCGCTGGGTGCGAGGCAGGCCCCAGCGTCTAACACAGCCCAGTGAGTCAGAGACTTCTCAGAAGGGATGGCAGAACCAGGGTATGCACTTTTTCAGGCCTAAAAACACAACTCCATATCCTGCTGCTGGCCGAGCTCTCTGGGTCTTGTGGGGGCATCTGGCACTGACCTACCCCGCTGCCTTTGGCTCCTGGGGCTTTTCTCTGCTTGTGCCGTTCCCTTCAGGGCCTCTCCCATCCTCAACCTGTCAATTCCTCAGAGCCTGGCCTCTCCTGAACCTCTGCCCACCGCCCCCAGGCTGTCTTATCTTCCCCTAGGTGCCTAGCCACCCATTGGCATCTCCTACATTTGGAGCTCTAAGTCAGAGTCAATTCAGCTGCCCATTAGCTGCCCTACTTGATGTCCGTACGCCCCCAACAACCACCTTCATCATCCGACCATGCCCGGCAAATCTTGCCATTTCTCCTAACTCAGAGAATGGTCCTGTAATCCACCCTCTGAGCCAGACTGGGGCTGAGTTCTGAAGTTAATAAAGCTGAGGATGACGACAAAAGCCACCTCAGGGTTGTCATGCGTATTATACAAGATCATACTTTTTAAAGCCTTGGCGCAAGGTCTGACATCTAGCATTAATGTGCTAAATGTCAATTATCCTAAAGATTCTGCTAATAACATCTCTCTGTAGACTCTCTTTTCCTTCCTCAATCACAACTTACTCCCAGCTTTGCAGCAGCCTCTGGCCCAGCTGCTGGAGGCTCAGAACCTGACCATTTAGTAAACACACTACATGAGCTCCTTCCGAAGAACATGGAGCAGGTGGCTGGAGTGGGACCAGGCGAAGGGGTCTGTGTGCTGGGGTTGGAGAGGGACTCCTGCCTCCTCCGGTGCCAGGACCCACCCATCCTCCTGAAGACCAGCCCTTGCTGCTTCCTGGCTGGGTCTCTAGCCACACGTGGTTACCTCACAGACTAGTGAAGCGCTTTCTGCACCGGTATCACAGGCTGGGAGGCCCCCTTTTTAGTCAGGTAACTTGAGGCCCAGGTAACTTACCCAAGACTCAGCACTTCTTTGTACTGGTAGCTTTTCTGCCACCTCCCACCCCTAGCTCGACCTGACACCTACGAAGCCTCTTCCTCTCCTCTGCATTCCCTGTTTTTCTCCAAGTGCCTCGAATTTGTTCCAACCCAAGTTGCTCTTTTGGTGTCTAATGTAGACATGGGATGGGGCAGTCAGGGTCCACCCAGAAGAGAGGGAACTAGAGATCCCCTGCCTCAGTGTTCCCTTAGGACTCCCTGGCCTCTGAAAGGGACCTGGCCCCCAGCCCCCTCCCAGGCTGGCCTCTGTGGGGCTCGGGAGTGGCCTAGGCAGCTCGCACATCTTCCGCTTTCCTCCCATGGTCCCTACTTCTCCTTTCTGGGGGCTTGGTCCAGGTTTCCAATGGGGCGGGGGGGATACTTTGGGGGAGAATTGGGGGAGGTCAGGCCCAGGCCGGGCTGGCTGGTCAGTCCTGTGACTCGTGGGCTTGGAGAATTCCCCCTCCTCTCCCCGCCAGCCTTCCTCACAAGGCCCCCATTGTCCAGGAAAATCATGCCATTGTTTCCTGCCTGCGCCCCCCCAGTCCAGGGACTTCCCCCCCAATCCCTCAGACAGCACCCCAGGCCTAGGACTGGGATCTGCAAGGTGGGAGGCCAGGATCGGGGAGGCTAAGGGCACCCTGCCTGCCCTTCACCACCACCCAGACTCTGGGAGGGAAGCAGGGGAACTGGAGGGGAGTGGGGGTGCAAACCCTGGCTCCTTCCTCTCCCACAAACCCCCCACCCCCAGCTCTTTCCTCCCCTGCAGGCAGCTGGGCTTGGGAGGGAGCAGAGGCTGGAGCAAGGGCAGGAAGCCGGCTCAGGGGCAGCAGGAAACGCAGGAAGCGGTGGGGAGGGTGGGGAGCAGGGGCCTGGGCTATTGTTCCATTTTCTCTGGAAAGAAAACTGGAGGAAAAACAGAAGACAGCGTCCCCTCCTCCCTGGGGCCTTTGGGGAATCCCCCTTAGGCTTCAGTAGGGAGTGGGGGTCCCTAGATGGCTAGGACCCTGAATGAGAGGTGGAAACTGCCCCCTACTGTGGATGAGGGGAGTGGGTGGGGTTCCTGGCAGACATCCCCCGGCCCCTCTGGTCCTGGGAAGGACTTGGATATCACTGGGTTCTGGTGTTCGCTCGCCCCAGGTCCCCTGTCCACGGTGAGCCCAGGCCAGGAGGCTCAAAATATCCATGCTCACTCCCCCAAAAGCTGTCCATGCCTCTCCAGTAACCCTACTGACCCCTCTGCATTTCCTTTTGCTCTACAACCTGCACCTGGGCCCCAGCAGGCCTCGGCCTGTGTCCCCATTACTGTGCTGAATCCTGCCTCCTGGCTTTCACTCTTGTCAGGCCCGGCCTGGACATCCACCTGGGTGCCTCTCTGAATGCTGCCCGCTTTTGGTCTGTTGGGAAGCCTGCCTGCTGGAGGAAAGGAAGCCCTCTGAGCTTGTCACTCCTTGCCTTGGGCCTACGCTGGGCAGTGCGTGGGGCCTGAAATGGCCGGAGATGGAGTGCCTCCCATAGTCCTGCCATCTCCACCCCAAGAGCTGATTCCAGGTGAAGCCCTCTTGGTGGCTCAACCCCCAAATGTCCACACTCATGGCTGAGGACCCACTGTGTACTAGCATCAGACAACAGGGCCTGCTGAGTCCATTAAGCCATTCCCCGCTCCCAGCTACTCCCTCTTTACAGTCTGGAACTGAGGCTCTGAGTTGAAATAACCGCCAAGAGGTCATGAGGCCGAGGGGAGGAGTGGGGCCAGGATTTCTGCCCTGGCCCCAGCCTTGACCACCGCAACCACCGTGGGGGGGTTTCCCCTAGGAGATCTGTTCTGGAGGATCTGCCCACCACAAGTGGAGAAGAGAGCAGAGCACCAAAGGCATAAGGGGGGAAGAGGCGGAGCGCCAGTATCCAGAGCTCTGTTTCCATGACGTGGTGGCCATGGCTAGGCAGGACACTTATGGCACACCTGAGAGATCCCAAATTTTCAACTTGGCAGCCGTGAGCTGCAGTCAAGGATTTCTGGGGCTGCGGCATGAAGGACTCTGGAACAGGGGGTGTCCCAGTCAACTGGGATTCCCCTAGGGCCAGAGCTCCTGCCTCTAGCAGAGGCCCAGGTAGGCTCAGCTGAGTTGACAGTATGTGTGTGCTTGGGCCATGCCACCCTCCGACCATGCTCCCCAAAAACTCACTGTTGTTGGACTTGAGGTCTCGGTGGATGACAGGCACCAGGGCCTCACAGTGCAGGTAGTGCATCCCACGGGCAATCTGCACGGCCCAATTGACCAGCACGTGGGGGGGCACACGCCGCCCAGCCAGGGCACGGCTGAGGGGCCCACCAGCTGCGTACTCCATCACCAGGCACAAGTTGGGCTCCTCCAGGCACACAGCCTTGAGGGCAATGATGTTGGGGTGTGCCAACATAGCGAAAAGCCGGGCCTCCTGACGCACACTCTCAGCTGTCACGCTGATATCCTCATCGGGGTCCTGTCGAGCTGCCTTCACAGCCACCAGCTCGCCTCGCCAGCTTCCGCGGTAGACCTTTCCGAAGCCACCAATGCCGATCACCTCCTCCAGCCGCAGCTCCTGGAAGCTGGCCACCTCGCATGGGGGCGGGCCGCCCCGAGATACATAGTTGGACGGAAAGATGCCTACCTGGCCACCCACCTGACCCGCCCACCAGCCCTCATCGCCTGAGATAGCCGCATCCCGGGATAGCACCTCCACACGGTCTCCCTTTCGCAGGGCCAACTCGTCCTGTCCATTGGGCTCGTAGTCAAACAAGGCTGTCCACACAGGGTTGGCATAAGCCGCTGCTTTCGGGGACCCGTCTGGCCAGCCTCCGCCGCTGCTCCCTCCGCCCCCACTGCCACCGCCGCTCCATGACCCCAGTGGGCTCTTGAGGAAGAGGTTCTTCAAGGGCTCCATGGCTGAGAGCCGGCGTTGGGGCGTGTAGGGGACCTTCCCTGGGTGCCCCTGGTCCCCACCCTTGCTGGCTGCCGAGGCCCTAGTCCCAGAATCTGGGCATCCGCGTCCTGGCCCTCAGCCCCAGACCCACGCCTCTGTAGGGAGCCAGGAGTGTTGCCTCCCAGCCCGCCGCATCTCGGGCTTCTAGAGGAAGGCAACCCAGGGCAGTGTGGTCAGGCTCCGGGGATGGGACCCGGGGGTCTCCGGCGTCTCACCATTGCCAGCTCAGAAGGGCCCAGGTGTCCCTCACTCCCGGAGCAGTCTTGGGAGGCTGGCTCCAGCAACCACCAAGTGTAAGGTGGGGCCAGCGAGGGGCAGCGCCTGGATTCCGGTTGGTTCTTTTAGCGTAGGGGTGGCTGGAGTGTCCCTGGTTGGGCCCAGCTGCCCCTTCCTGGCCCGGCTCCCTCGGCCCGACGGCTCCAACCCCCGTTCCCTTCTTCCTCCTCCCTTTGTACTTTGGCCCTGGGGGCGGGAGGCAGAGGTGGAGGGTGGAGTTTCACTTTTTCTTCGCTCTTCTCCCTCCTGCAGGAAACAGCATCAGATGACGCGAGCGAGTAGCACCGCTCCCCTCCCAGAGGCTGCGGCGGCCGAGCCTGGGGAGTTCCCGGGTAGGCGGGCGGGCGAGGAGGAGCAGGAGGGGAAGGGTAGCCCCAACCCCCCATCTTAGCGAGCCTTAGCAGAGGTGGTTCTCCGCTAAGAACGGGCCACCCCCGCCCTCTGCATCCGCATTAGCAAAACGGAGTAAAGAACCTGGCTTGAGAGTGGGGTAAACTCGAGTATGGTCTTGGTTCCAGAAGTTGCAGGGCTGTGCCTCATTCGTTTCAGATCTGAAATGGGAACCAGAGGCTCTGTTTTGCAGAGCTAGTGGGATGGGGGTGGAGAAGATTGGAGGAGGATGTAACTTGCTGCACCTCAAGCTCTTGGAACGGGTTGTCTAAGGTTCTCTTCCCCTCGGCTGGGAAACAATCCACTTCTTCTTGCCCCTTCCCCAGCGGGTGGAAACTGAGATTGGGATCCTGAATTGGATTCAGAATAGTTAAGTCGCCCTCACAGTCGCTGAGTTGACCCCAATTGCCTTGAGCCTGTCACTTTAAGAGAAACGACGCTATCCTATTTCGACTATTCCCGCCTGTTCTGGAGGGTCGCTCTCGGCACACCGAACCTGAGTTGTGACCCGGAAGTAGAGGCCTCTCCGGGAGACAGACGCTCATGGCGTTTGAGGCCAGGCACTAAAAGGGGCGGACCAGGACCAAGAGGGGCGTGCTCCGGTGGCGCTGAACTCTAGCTGTAGCACTGGGGAGTCCACGCCTCCATCCTTTTTCCCCACCTCCCGTAACTCATTGGGAGAGCTTTGCGCTAATTAACTCCGCCGTTATCCAATGGCCACTCTCCCTTTGGTTCCGCCCAGTGGATTTCTTTAGGATGGCAACGCCTAGGTGTGCGCATGCGCTCAAGCTCTTCTACCTTTCGGATTGTTTCTTCCCTCAGACCTAGGCTCTGCGCACGCCCAGAGGGCTCCCCCGCTTCTTTCCCCCGCCGACCGCCTCCCTGCGCTTGCGCATTCATGCCGTCAGGTTTTCCTTTTCCGGGTCCCAACTGGGATAGTCGGGCGCATGCGCCATTGCAGGCTGGCGGCTCGCGGCTCCTTCTTCCGGCCTCCTCCTAGGGCCGGCTCCCGCAGAAGCGGAGCGATCGCGGATCCCGAAGCGAGTGACCTGTGACCCCGGAAGTGTCCCTCAGGGTCCTGGGGCTCTCCCTAGGTCGGAACCGGGAAGCCGTCGCCTGCACCTCCAGAGCACCTACCCCACGCCCACCTCTGGATGCCGCCGACGGGTGCCCGGCCCGTGCCCAGCGCCTGCCTGCAGGCTCGGCCCCTTGGAGCAGTTTTTGGCCGGGGGTGGGGACCCGGACCCCGCCCCTGATGCGGCTCCGCCGCGGCGCTCGGGCCTCGCACCGCTGACTGCCCTGGCCGGCCCCGCCCCCTGCCAGCACCTTCGCCCCACGGACCCCTCTCCCCCGCTGGGGGAGGCCATGGCGTGAGCGCCAGGCCGGGCCCCGGGGCCCTCCGGCGCCAGACGGGGCATGGGCCGGGGGCCGCCCCCATGAGGGTCCCGGGAGGGGGGCGCGCGCTGCAGCGGCGGGGCCATGGGGTCGCAGGTGTTGCAGATCCTGCGCCAGGGGGTGTGGGCCTCGCTCACCGGCGGTTGGTTCTTCGACCCACACCAGAGCACCTTCTCCAACTGCTTCCACCTCTACGTCTGGATCTTCCTGCTTACCTTTCCTTTCTTGCTGTACATGGTGAGGCGCTGCCACCACCTGTAACTCCCGTCAGCGAAAGGGAGGGCGGCCTGGTGGGGATTGGGGACTGCGCCTTGGGCGCTGGGGTGTGGAGAGAGGAGCCACTGCAGAGTTTGGGGTGTGTGGAGGACAAGCAGAATTCTCCCTTTTCTCGGCTGGGTGACCTTGAGCACCTCATGTAATTTCTCTCTCTAGTTAGAATCCGTTGCAGGGTCGTTGTGGTTTCACAAGGGGTGACATAGTGAATCCTGACCCTGACAGTGGTGGTAGTCCACCCCATGGGGGCACCGTTGGTTGAGAAGGGACCTGACTTGCTGCCACTTCCAGGTTCTGCCCCCCAGCTTGATGGTGGCTGGCGTGTACTGCCTTGTGGTGGCTGTCATCTTCGCTGCCATCAAGACTGTGAACTATCGGCTGCATGCCATGTTCGACCAGGGTGAGATTGTGGAGAAGCGCAACTCTACCATGGGGGAGCCAGAGGAAGAGCCTGCCCAGGGGGACAGCAATCCACTCAGGTAGGTGAGGCTGGGGTTCTGTTTGGGATCCAGGGTTCTTGGTGCCTGGGCCTGAGCCTTGGAGGGTGGAGGAGGGGCTTAGGGAACATCGATTCGTGAGTGGTTGAGCACTTGTTCTGTGGTCCACCCTGGAATTGTCAGAGGACCTTTGAGAAGAGAGAAGCGATGGAGATTGCAGAGGCAGTACTAGGAAGAGGGTAGGTTAGCTCAAAGCTGATGTTTTTCTCCACTGCCAGGGACCCCGGAGTGGAAATGACAGTGTTTCGGAAAGTTAGTTCCACACCCCCAGTACGTTGTAGCTCCCAGCATTCCGTGTTTGGCTTCAACCAGGTCTCGGTGAGTGGTCCTGGCCCTCAGCCTCTCTCACTCCTCTCCTGGGAGCCCATCTCCACCATGGGTATGTCCTGAGCCTACCTGAGCCTACTGCCTTGTTTGCTCCTTCACACCTCTCTGTTTGCTCAGGAGTTGCTGCCCCGGATGGAGGACTCGGGGCCCCTCAGAGGTAGGTGGCTGCTGCTCAGAGCTGAAGGTGGTGGTGTGGAACGGGATGGCACACAGCTGCCCTGGGGTCCTGCTGATGCCTCTGGGTGCGTGGTTACAGACATCAAGGAGCTGGTGCGGGAGCAAGGCAGCAACAACGTGATCATGACCTCAGCTGATCGAGAGATGCTAAAGCTAAGCTCACAGGAGAAACTGAGTGAGTGGGTGTGATGCGGCAGGGGCTTGGGGGGGGACGATGAGCTGTCTTGTTTTTGAGTCATTCCAACTCTGCTACCCTGGGGCTCTCTTTGTTCTCCTGGATGGGTCTCACCCCAGCCGGGCTTTCAGAAAGCAGGAGCCGTAGGACCCCTTAGCCACCAGTTCCTTTCACAGCATGCCTTTCACTCACCTGCCTACCTTTCTTCTACAGTTGGAGATCTTCCCCAGACGCCTCCGGGGGCTGCCCCAGACCCTTCTCTCCCCAGCACAGACTCTTCGGAACGTTCTCCTTTGGCTGGAGATGGAGCCCCCTGGAGTGAGAGCAGTGTGGCTGACACTCCCATGAGTCCCCTACTGAAGGGGAGTCTTAGCCAGGAGCTGAGCAAGAGCTTCTTGACCTTGACCCGTCCTGACCGGGCCCTGGTGAGGACCAGCAGTCGACGGGAACAACGCCGGGGAGTGGGTGGCTACCAGCCCCTGGACCGGCGGGGCTCGGGGGAGCCCATGCCCCAGAAAGCTGGCTCCTCAGATTCCTGCTTTAGTGGCACTGACAGGGAGACATTGAGCAGCTTTAAGAGTGAGAAGACCAACTCCACCCACCTGGACAGTCCCCCTGGTGGGCAAGCCCCTGAGGGCAGCGACACAGACCCACCGTCTGAGGCTGAGCTGCCCGCCTCACCAGATGCTGGAGTACCCTCAGATGACACACTGCGTTCCTTTGACACAGTCATAGGAGCAGGGACACCGCCAGGCCCGGCCGAGCCACTCCTGGTTGTGCGGCCCAAGGACTTGGCCCTGCTTCGGCCTGGCAAACGGCGGCCACCCATGCGAAGACACAGCCCTCCTGGCCGTGCCCCTCGGCGGCCCCTGCTGGAAGGCGGGGGCTTCTTTGAGGATGAGGACACCAGTGAGGGCAGCGAATTGAGCCCGTCCTCCAGTCTCCGATCTCAGCGCCGCTACAGTACTGACAGCTCCTCTTCTACTTCTTGCTACTCCCCCGAGAGTTCTCGGGGTGCAGCAGGGGGGCCTCGGAAGCGACGGGCTCCCCCTGGGGCTGAGGAGGGGACTGCCGTGCCCCCCAAGCGGCCCTATGGGACCCAGCGGACGCCTAGTACTGCCAGCGCCAAAACACACGCCCGTGTGCTGAGCATGGATGGGGCGGGGGGTGATGTCCTAAAGGCCCCCCTGGCTGGCTCCAAGGCTGAGCTGGAGGCCCAGGCGGGGGTGGAGCTTGGTGCTGGTGAGCCCACTGTGTTCCCTGCGGAGCCCCGCAGGGGACCTGCCGCCAACCAGCCTGGCTGGCGGGGGGAGCTACAGGAGGAAGGTGCTGTAGGGGGAGGTAAGTGCCAGTTCCAGGGCTGGGGAGGGATGTGAGCTAGGTAGGGGGCTTGGGTTTGGGCAGTGGTCTGGCTGGAGTGGACCTGGTCAGTCATCTCAGCCTCTGTTTTAGGTAGCAGGTGGGTATGGATTTGGTGATTAAGTGACATTTTCTGCCACACCCCTCAGATAAGCAGGGGTGCAGCAGTGGGGAAAGGGGCAGAGAGACCTCTGGCACCTTGCTCTGGATCCTGCAGTTAGCACCTGAAGCCTCTGCCCTTGAGAACTCTCAGCATCCACATTCGTCATTCTGGGCTAGGGCAGACCATACTGTCCTTATTTCCAAAGGTGGAAACTGAGGCACAAGTGGTTAGGTGACTGGGCTGAGCCCAAGCCAGGGCATGGTTGGACTAGGCCTGACCTCATCTCCAGGCGGGAGCACCTGTGCTACCCCCACCTGTACCTCTAGCTCTGTCTAAGCCAGTGTCACTTATGCTCTGGGACCTCTCTCTGGGCAGTGGCCGAGGAAACGGGCAAGCGAGACCGCTCCAGCAGTGTGAGGCGGACACAGGCCATCCGGAGGCGCCACAACGCAGGCAGCAACCCCACTCCTCCAGCGTCTGTCATGGGCTCGCCCCCCAGGTGAGGACCTGCCGCCGGTCTGGGGGCTGTAGGGCCAGCTGGCTCTACCTGGTACTGACCCCTGGCTGGCCCTCCCCAGCAGCCTGCAGGAGGCTCAGCGTGGCCGCGCTGCCTCCCACTCCCGGGCGCTGACGCTGCCCTCTGCCCTGCACTTCGCCTCCTCCCTGCTGCTCACCCGGGCTGGTGCCAACGTGCACGAGGCCTGCACCTTCGATGACACCTCCGAGGGCGCCGTGCACTATTTCTACGATGAAAGTGGTGAGCACCTCCCTGAGTCCCGTGGCCTGGCCTCTGCCCCCGGCCAGCCCAGGACTCCCTCTCTCTCTCTTGCCGAAAGTCTTTGTCGCCCCAGCAGCAGCACTCGCTGTCGGGCACATACTAGTACCACCTGGTGTCAGACTTGCAGCCTCCCTGAGGTGTAGGTAGTCTCATCGTCCCCGTTCTGCCAATGAGGAAACAGGCATAGTCTGAAATCACAGGCCGAGTGACAGGCTGAGTGAGTGAGTGCCCTGGCTGAGTCCACACCAGGGTGGCTGACTGTAAGGCTCAGGCCCTTGACCAACAGGCCCTCTCCTGTCTAGCTCTTGTCCTCAGGAGCTGGACAGCCATCCAGAAGGACACAGCACAGGGTTCTTCTTTTCTAAGTGTCCTTGGTGCCCACGTGGGTTGGGCCTTGGTGTTCCCGTCCCTGACCCGTTGCCTC